TTCGCAATAGCTTGCCTCCGGAACCCCTATGACCCTGCAGAGAGGATGAGAGACAACCAGCGTTGAGGACTCTCCTTCATAGGGTCGCTATGAGTTGCCTGTGACATGACGGCACTTCACCACCACCACAACAACAATTCTTTTCATGACAAGATTACAGAAAAAGAATTGCTTAATAAATGGGACTCTGGACTTCGGTGGGTATCGTATAACAATGAAAGAATTTGTCTTTTCAAAGAGAAAAACTAGCTGGGGGAGGGGGTAGACAGGGAGGAACATGTGCAACAGTGAATGAATGAATGAATGGGGAAGAAATTAAATGGAACGAATATGCCATAAAAAGTTATAGAGATTACATTTTTAAAAAAATTAATAAACATGAAACGATACTGATGCCATCACGTTTGAAAGGCAGCTCTCAAATGTCTCCTGCAGGGCTGGCAGTCACCCTGTTGACGGCTTCCCCAAAGCCCTGGTCCAGCAGGACGTGGCTCAGTTGGGCTGCCAGCCCAGGGAAAGTCTCCCAGTGTCGATTTCCTGGATTTCCTTGGTGGCCATGCAGCACTCAGGCGTGTCGGGGACAACCCGGAAGTCCAGCACCGAGGGAGGCTGCACCCCTACAGGCCCTGCAGGACAACCATGGAATCCCACAGAACAGAGTGGAAGCAGCAGCCCAGGGCAGAAGGAGGACAGGGAGCTGGGAGGAGTCTGTGACCCGCACCCACCCAGGGCAGCTGGTCAGGGTGGCTGAAGCGCTGCTGAGCGGGAGGATGAGCTGGAAGTCAGCAGCGAATCTGGAGGACTTGACGGCCCTCAGGACAAGCCAGTGCCTAAGGAAGGCGGCCTGGGCTGGGCTGCAGGCAGAGGCCAGAGGGCGTCGCCCGGACCCTCCTCAATGTAGGAAGACAGGTGGACCCCAGCTCCCTGACACGTCCACTTCCGTTGCAGCGGGTACACAGCAGCTCCACACAGGGCTCTCCGGAGGCGCTTGCCCTTGGGCAAAAAGACCCGATCCTGTCCCCCGTCCTTAAGGGGTTCTGAAAATGCCCGACCTAGAGAGCCTCCCCAACGAATTATTGGCCGTTACTGTAACAGAAACAGCACAATGGGTTGGCTTGGACAAACACGTTTATTTCCTTTCCCACAAGACAGGAATTGAGGAAATGGAAGATAATTACAGTGTAAAGGTGAAGATTATTGAAATAAAGTTTTCCTGTTGGTAAAGATCTTGCTCTGACCAGTCCAACTCCAGTCCTAGGTCCTCCAGGACCTGACTCAGCTGCTCCAGCCAATTCTGCACAGCCCTCATGTCTATGGTTCTCATTCCTCCGCAGCTCACACAGCACTCCCACGGGAACGGCACCTCCAGCATCGTGATATTGTTCTGAGGGAGGGTGTGCAGCAGCAGGCTCTCCAGGACGTCTATCGAGAGCGAGTTTCCACTGAACCTGAGTAAATCGAGCTGGGAGCATTGGCCCAGGGCAGGCAGGAGGGCTGTGAACTCGACGTCAGTCATGCCACAGCCGCTCAAGTCCAGTTCTTTCAGGGTGCCTGAGATTCTCTCCAGCAGAATGTTGAGGAACACAGCAGCTATGCCTACGATCTGCACATTTCTGAGATGCAGCCTACTCAGGCGGCAGGTGCTCGAACACCTGGACAAGTATTCCAAGTCAGATCCTGTCATACAAGAATCAGTAATGTACAGGCTCTCTAGTGGGGCCTCCAGGTACCTGAAGACCTGATGCAATTTGCTGAGAAGAGAGCTGGTTAAGTGTATGTGGAGGTGGCGGAGATGCTGCAGGTGTAAGAACGCGATGGAGAATTGAGCAAACAGGCTCGTTACCACTGTTGCGTCCCAGTGGGTCCAGTGGTCAAGAAAATCTCGACCAAAGTACAAGCTGTTCAGATGAACCATCTTCCCCAGGTATTGAGTAAATTTAGCCTTGTGATCCAATTGCCAGTGGCAGCTGACTTCTACCTCCTCCACACAGTCTAGGTGTATGTTATCAAAGATATTATTGACAATGTGAAATCTCAATGGCTCAGCAAGAAACTCTAGCCTCCGACAGCACAGTTGGGGTAGTGGTTTCTTCTCCTCGACCCTCTTCACAAGGAAAGTGAGCAATTCATCTGAAGAGGGCTTCGTGAAGCACAGGTCCGACAGCAGCACCAGCACTCCCGCTTCAGAGGAGCACTGCTTCTTCTCCCCTGTGCTGGAGGGCCCCACTCGGTGCCTCTCTGGGCTGGGCTGCGCAGCCCCACTCTCCCGTGAGGGGCTCGCTGAGATCCCGTCCCCCAGCCCAGCCCACACGTGCCAGAAGTTGGTCTCAGCGTTGCTTCTGAGGTCCAGCACTTGGAGTTTCCAACGTGTAGGTCGAAAATCACGGGCAAGCAGCGCATCGATGCCATTGAGGGTCGCCTTCAAGATGTCCTGATCACACTGCAGAGCTTCCAGCAGAGCCCCCAGGGGGAGGTAGGGGAACGGCCAGGCCTCCACCATCGCCTGAACCGTCCTGCAGCATCTCCTCGCAACAGCCAAGAAGAACAGGGGTGGAAAGCTGTCCCTGGGAAGTGACTGCAGGCCGGCCATGGCAGTGGCTTCATCCTCTAAAAGGCTCTGAGTGGCCAAGTCCACTAGTCTGGGCGGGTTCTGTCTGCCCATGCCGCTCTCCTGCTGCAACGGAAAATGTGGTTAGTGGTCGGTAGCGAGAGCTAAGTCTCCCACACCCACCCTCCAGACTCTCTGAAGCCTTGCTAGTTGGTTCAAGCCACAACACTTACCTTTTCCATTTTCCAATGGTGCAGAGATTCTTGGATGTCGTGTCAGCTCACAGTCTTGTCAGCATCAGCCTGGTCAGAAGGCTGAGTGCAAGTTCTCAAGCTCCAGAGGGAGAGGAATCTCAGGACCAGCAGAGCGACCACCAGAGCACCTACGAACAGGCGTGGAGGAGAAGTAGGCTTGGGATCTGCAGGGAGTAAAGGCTAGCACACTGCGCTCAGATGCTCACGAGTGTTTGGGGCTGGCTGCCAGCCTGTGGATCTCCCTCTCACCTCAGTCACGATGATCACCTGATCACAATTAACCACTACTATCCCTGTTTATTAGTAAACAGACATTATCAGAGAGGGGAGTGTTCCTAGAATGTCTTCACCCAGAGAGGATTACACTCCTTGGCATTGGATCAAGGCACCATCAAAAGTCCCACAGTGTTGACACCTTAATCCACTGTGTCTCTAGTCCTGGGTGGGGCTCTGGAGGATAGTGAGAAGGATCAATGCAGCCGAGCCCCTTCCTTATCCAGCAGCCACTCTGAGGGAACCATGGGCAACCCCTCCAGTGCTATTTCCTCCCCCTGGACACGTGCAGAGGGTCAGCTATGAGTCAGTCTCAACCCAAGGCGGTACATCACAACAACAGTAAGGTGGGGCTCTACACTGAGATGGATGAGGACACACATGGGCCACCTGCTTAGGAAACAATGGCCTCACAATGTCCTATGAGCGAATCCGGAACATTATTCAGTGGGGGGGCTGGGGTTCAGCCCCTCAGGTAAAACTAGGGAACAGCTGCTTCCTCCAAGTAAGAAAAAGGACCTACTGCCACCAAGTCCAAGCAGCCCCGAGTGGAGCCTCCAGGGACTTTTCAGCAGAGGTAAGTTGCATGCAAAGAGACTGTCATCCTTCTCCCTCGGAGCAGAGGGTAGATACAAACCTGCTGCCTTTTGGTTGGCAGTACAACTCCCTACCGACTAGGCCCAGGGGCTCCTCAAAGCAGAATGTACAGCAATCATACTAATGAATGAAAACAGATTTGTGGTTGGTGGGGAGATGTCAAGGGGAGTTTTGATGGCTTAGTTGTTAGACTCTAGGCTACAACCGCTAAGTCCCGAGGTTCGAATCCATGGAACCGTCCATATTCTTCCCCCACATCACAGCCCAAGAATCTCTGCGTTGACAGTCATGATTTAGTCATTCCCTTGCTGAGCTGGGATCTGGTGTAACCCTCTCCCTGCGGGATGTCACACAGGGGCTCAGCACCATGAGGAAGTGTGCAACAAAGGAGGGACAGTTTACCGCCTCGGAAAACCACTAGAGGGTGAGCTATGGGTTGGTTCCAACTCGACAGCCAACAAGAAGAGCAGCTGGGAGATCTCAGGTCATCACTGCGCCCTCCAGGGGCTGTGGCCCTCCTTACCCTTCAGCACCCCCCACATAAGGCCCAAGGCCTGCTCATAACCCTTCCCAACTTACTTTGGAGAAGTCTATC